GAAGAAACCATTAAGCATTAGAACACTTTTTCTGAAATCAGGCATTTAGTTCTGCAGTGGGTGATGTACTTGTTGCCAAGACATCCATATGAGAAATGGTGGTCTTAATCACATTCTTCATATGGCATTTTGCACATGGTCAAGCCCTCAGCCAGAAAAACTGTGACGTCAGGGACTGTAGCCACTCAAGTTGAGAGCACAACACAGAGGGTCTATGGGTGAGGACCTGGTTTTAGAAAAATTCAACCCAGACTTCCAGAAAGTGGACAATTTCTGGAGTGTCTCCCTTGATTTGAGAAATTTAGCAAAATAGTTAAACAATAGTATCAGACCTTACTGCATTGAATTTGAGAAGTTTAAATGTTTAATCTCCCTTTTAGATTATAATATGCTTCAAAATGCAAAGAATACAAAAGCCAAGTCATCCAAATAAAACACCATCAAAAGAAGAGTTCCTCAGAAGAAAGTTGCCTTTTTTTTTTTTTTAAATAATTCTAGAGTCTGGAAAAAACTTTAAATTGCCTTTAAAAAATACCTACTAGCCTTTAATCTTCAAAAAGCTGTTCTGTCTCGCTCTTAATTAATTTTTTAAAATTTAATTACATCAAAGTTTTAATTAATGCAAATGAAAATCATACTGAAATACCAATTTTCATCTGTTATATGGGTAAAAATTCAAAAATTAGACAACACGATGACAAGGCTTGGGAAGTAGGAACTTTAATTCATTTCTGATGAGAATATGAACTGGTATAACCTCTGGAGGGCAGTTTGGCAACATTGGTCAAATTGTAAGTGCATTTCCTCTTTGATCTAGCAATCTCAGTTTGAGGAATTTATACAGATATATCATTTCATGTGTGTGCAGTGCAGGTATAGTTTACAAGGCTCTTTGTTACAAAATTGCCTGTGGTAGTAGAATATAGTATTTTAAAACAACCCCAGTGTCCATCTGTGAAGAACTTGTTTAAAAAAAAAAATCAATAGGGTGCATCCACACAATGGAATACCATGCAGGTATTTAAAACAAAATAAATACAGGCAGGGCAGAGTAGCTCACACCTCCAATCCCAGCACTTTGGGAGTCCAAGGCAGGAAGATTGCTTGAGCTCAGGAGTTCAAGACCAGCCTAGGCAACATAGCGAGATCTAGTCTATACAAAAAAACAAAAAAAATTAGCCAGGTGGGGTGGCACACACCTGTAGACCTAGCTAATCTGGAGACTAAGGCAGAAAGGATCACCTGAGCCCATACAGTTGAGGCTGCAGTGAGCCATGATTGTGCCACTGCATTCTAGCCTCAATGACAGAATGAGATTTTTGTCTCATAAAGAAAAGGAAAAATAGCAAAAGAAGTTCTCCACATACTGATACAGGGAAATTTCTAGGCTATACTGTAAAAGAGCAGTGGGGGGAGATACAAAGCAGTGTTTTCAATATTCTACCGTATGAGTAGGAAATGGTGATAAATAATGTGTTTATATTGTTTTTATTGTATATTTTTACTCCAGAAAGCTATACAAGAAAATAAAAAGTGCAGTTGTTTAAAAGTCAGTATCTAGAAAGGACTGGAATAATGGGAGGATGACTGTATGGGAACGAGACATCTTTTTGTATACTGTTTTATATAGTTTTGAATTTTGTACCATGTGAATATACTACCTAGTCATGTTTTTAAAAATTTTAATAAAATGTTCCTTTTGATAGGTCATTTGTTTTCAGAATTTTGAAACGTGTGCAAAGACTATGTCACAGCAAAAAACGTAATTTTAGATTACAGACAAATTGAAGTCCATTTTCCTCATTAGTATATGATACATGCTGTCTCAGGTATCTCTTGGTGGGTGAGTTCTGTCTCCATAATCTGGCTGTCTGAAAGGGGACACACTGGCCAGCTGCAGCTGCATTGCTGTATGGAGACTAGGAGAGAGGCTCAAACGGTCATCCAATCTCCTGCCTTTCCTTTCTCCACTCCCCTAGCTGACTGAAATTTTAGGAAAAGGTAACTGTCCCTGTGGACAGAATTCATGATCCACAACATACATTCTTATATTCATCTGCCTCTAGTAATTTTAATTTTATCCAAATTGTCTCACCATCTGAAAGACTTTGCTATGGGAGGCTGGGGATGGGGGAGACGGAAGGTTTTGCTTTTTTTTTTTTAACTTGTTATTGTGGAAAATTTCAAATATACACAAAAAGTAGAAGAATATAATGAACTCCCATATACCTATCATTCCACAGTTTATAATTAAAAACAACTTTGCCCTTTCCCCCCATCCCTCCCATGTTTTATTTTCCTGGAGTATTTTAAAGCAAATCATAAATCATATTATTTCTTTTCTTTCTTTCTTTTTTTTTTAGTTGGAGTCTCACTTTGTGACCCAGGTTGGAGTGCAGTGGCATGCTCATGGCTACCACAGCCTCAACCTGTTGGGTTCAGATGATCCTTCGATCCTTCCACCTCACCCTTCCAAGTAGCTGGAACTACAGGCATGTGCCACCACGCCCAGCTAATTTTTTGATTTATTGTAGAGATGCAGTCTTGCCAAGTTGCCCAGGCTGGTCTCAAACCTGTGAGCTCAGGCAATCCTCTCACCTTGGCCTCCCAAAGTGCTGTGATTATAGGCATGAGCCACCGCGCCCAACAATCATATTATTTAATCTGTTAAAAGATAAACTTACGTTTAACTTTTGAAGAGTTTTTCTGAGCTAACAGTGTCTCATGAATTGGACAACACCAGACCACAAGTGGGTCAGAGCTCCACTGAGGGAGCTCAGGGGCAAAACATTTAGAAGGTGTTTTGTAGAAGCAAAACAGACAATATTTTATTGGTTAAAGTGGAAAATCTCTAGTTAGAGATTAGTTGGCAGTTTCTGATTGGTAAAGCACCTGGTTAGTTGTTGATTGACAGTTTCTGATTGGTTAAGTTAGTCTGAGTTGGGTTTTAGTTTGCTTCCTTAGCAACCTAGAATTCTGGAGCTGTCTCATCCTAATGGGCTCCTAGTTAATTTTTTTAAACACCTGGAAATGCTTCAGGGTGTATCTCTAATAACTAAGAATACAAAAAACAAATGACATTATAGACAACAACATATTATCACGAAAGTCTATTACATGTCTTACGTTTTAGAGAGATTAAAGGAAACTTAATGTCCTGCTCTGTATTAATCGGTCTTTACCTTGTCACTGGAATAATTTCAGTCAGCATACAGAAAAGATTGAGGATCTCCCATCTTTATAAGAAAAATTTTAAAGACTTTCCTTATCCTTTAATTTCCCTCCAACTGCCATTCTTTTCTCTGTACTTTTCCAAAACGATCTCCATTTCCTTAGCTTAAATTCTTAGCCAATTCCATCCTGACTCCCATCCCCACCACTTCACTAAAACTGCCCTTACTTGACTGCTCACTGGCATTCAACACAGGTGCCTCTCCCTCCTAATACAGTGAACGTCAATTGCGTAATTAACTGTGGCGTTCTTATGTGAATTACTCATTCAATTGTTTAACAACTCCTTGAGGTAGGTGTTGTCATTATCCTCATTTTGCAGATGAAAAAGCTGAAGTTTAGGTTAAGTAATTAGTCGAACTACTAGTAAGTAGGTAGAGCAAGGGATTAAATTCAAGCACCGTTCAATCCTGCTGCCTCTCTGAAACGCTGCTATCGTGGGTTTTTCTCCTCACTCTGTTTCTTTGTAGTTTTCTTTGCAACTCCTTCTCCTACCTGATCTTAAAATTTGGTTGTTTCTCAGACCTTGATCTTATGTCCTGCTAGGCACTCTCACATACATGTTGGCTTCGTTTACTATGTAGAAGGTGATTTGCTCCCAACATATATCTTTAGCTCAGAACTGTTTTAATATCCACCTATCTCCTCAGTACAATCAAAACTTGACTCAGAATCTGTTCTTCCTATGTTACCGTTTGTGTGTGCGTGTGCACTAAATGGTAAAACCCCAGCTACTCAGCAGAAACATAGGAATTGTCCCTAATTCCTCCCTGTCTTAATTCCCGTAAACAATCACCAACTCCTAGTTATTGTGTCTTGTAGCTTTCTTTTCTTTTCTTTTCTTTTTTTTTTTTTTTGAGTTGTTGTCTCACTCTGTCACCCAGACTGGAGTGCAGTGGCCGCTCCCGGCCACCGCATCCTCGACCTGCTGG